CTGTTACAATTAAGTGATCAAATAGATTCATTGTAATGCATTACATTAGAAAGCAGATACATTGTAATAACCGAACGCCTCAGCAAGCAGGATTGCCTGGATATACTCTGACCAGGGAGGGAAATGCCTTCTTCCAGAGGAAGGGGCTATAGGCAAGCTCAGTATTCCCACCTCCCCAAGGCTTCACCCACCCACCAAACACCACACACACACACACACACACACACACACACACACACCAGGTACTAGAAAGCTGGTTTGCTAGACAGCTACATAAATACCTAAATCCAGAATTCTGATGAGAAACAGTTGGTTTCTACCCCCACTGACAAGACTGCTTTCTCAAATTTGCACTATAAGAAGGTAGCAGAAGCTCTCCCCTGAAACACTAGAACACCTTTTTCCAAACTTTCTCTTGGTGGGATGATGGGAGAATCAGTGGACCTATACTTTCTTTTACCAATTGCTGGCTGGCAAATTTTCCCCAATAAAGTCTATTCTGTAACCCATACTTTGTGATGTGGAATTTACCCTTATCTATGATGTCTTGGGTACCTACTCTTGGCCAGTTTTTTTAAAATGTAGATTTTATTGTTCAGGTTTAGTGAGGACCACAGATCAGAAGATGATTGCCTTTGAAAATGTACTTTGTTATGGTTTTCAAGAAAAGGGGGCATGCCTCCACAGGAAAGCATGTGGAATTACTCTGCCAATTGGTCAAGAGGCAGAGGGAATGAGGGGAAATGGGCAAGAGCCTGTTTTGTGGGTTCTATGGGAAGAAACCATCAAGACAGGGTAAGCAGGGGTAGGATTGGCTGATTTGGATAATTTTAGTGAACTCTCAGGGAGAGGGGCTCTTCCTAGTTGTTTGATACTTGATCCTGAAATGTGAGTAGAGGGGAGTGATGGCCTTGAGTATGAGAGCCCTTTAGAGAAGGTGGTGGGGCTCTGGGACTGTTGGTTTCATTTGGAAGGTATGCTCACAGGTGAGTTGTTTACTATCTCTAGGGATTGGCTAGTCCTGGGAGGAACAGTCTCTCCAGTATCATTAAGTACCCAGATGCCAAAGCAACATAATAAAAAGACATGTTTTGTACACCAGCCCACAAACTCAGATACTTGTTTGTTGTTTCCAATTCCTATAGCTCTGCAATGTTACATTATTAATTCCATGTTTAGGAGAGGAAATGGGATTTCAGAAGGATTCATTTGGTGAATGATGTTGGACAACTAGTTAGAGACTGCATCATGAGTCTAAATTGGGTGGTGTGACTTCAAAGTTGGTCTCCAGCTCATACTGGGTACTGAACCCAGGGCCTTACACATGCCAGGCAAGCACTTTACCACTGAGCTATACCATCATCCCTGAAACTGGTGCTCTTTCTGTGAGCAAGATCACCTTGCTATAGTAGATACGAGAAATGCTGTGGGAACAATTTTCAGTCCATACTAGGCATTTGACAATGTTGACCACTACCTCTTTGAATTTTCCAGTTCATTCTTTTATATAGATAGACAGCTAGAAAGCTTGGCTTGAGGAAGTAACCGCTTGAGCTAAAGCCGACCCACTTTTATATAGATAGAAGGTGTTATGAGTTATGCATTGGGTTGAGTGATGGAGATACAATAGTGAGCAAAAATGTTGATGTACCTTACAGTGAAGTCATAGATAAGACAGGTATTAACCAAATGATCCCACTAAAGTATATGCACTCACAAAGTGAAAAAAAGTGCTTTGAGGGAAAGAAATGTTTTTTAACTTTGTCTCCTGTGTCTCCTTGACTAATCCAGGGTTCTTAACCCCTGGTTGTACATCAGAATCACTTGCAGAATATATTACAAATATAATTGTTGGGACCTCATCTAGGAGATTCTGATTATACTTTAGTGCATTCCAGATAAATGCAATGAGTGCAGTCAAAGAGAGCTTTACCTTGACTAAAAGTACTTTGCTTTTATTAAAAAACAAACAACAACAACAACAACAAAAAAAAAACTGGTCAGGGGCACACAGAGAGAAAATGTGTAAGCATTCCTATTAATAGCCCCAGCCAAGCTTCCTGACATTAGCCACAATCAGTTGCTAGACAGAGAGTAATACCCCTTGGAAACCTTCTCCACTGGAACCTTCAAATCTCCAGCCCAACTGATAAAAGATCACAATCACATTAGGGATCAAAAGTTGAAAGTAGGGCCTGGGGCTGTAGTTCAGTGGCAGAGCACTTGCCTAGCATGTGTGAGGCACTGGGTTCAATCTTTAGCATCACATAAAAATAAACAAATAAAATAAAGGCATGCTGTCCATCTATAACTACAAAATTTTTTTTAAAGTTGAAACTAATAGTTAAACTTGATCAATAAACAATACTGTGAGAAATACTAGTCTATTTTTGTTTAAAATCATTAAAAACAAACAAAACAAAACTGGTTATAAGAACAGATCAGATTTGCAATTTGAAAAGATCACTCTGGTTACAATGTAGATTAATAGAGTAATGGGGATACAGTGCATTGGGGAAGTCAGTAGATAAGTTATTGTAAAGTATGACAGATGGGACAGTTAGGATGAATATGTGGTGGCAGAGTTTAGGACGGGCAGACAGGCAATAAAATCAGTAGGCCAATATGCATTAAATAAAGGAAGGAGGTAAAAGAAAGAATTTTGTTATGGATGATTTCTGGCTATACAGCCAGGTAAGATATTCCTGTTACCTGAAAGGGAACCAACGGAAGAGGGCAGATTTGATATGGGAGAAATCATGAGTTGTTTATGAATGTACTATTTGATATGCATTTGAGAAATTCAAGAGGAGTTATGATGGGAGTGAAGAACTGTGGGTAAATAGGTCTGGAGCTCAGATAGGAGGTCTATACTAGAAGATGGTAAACAAAGGTGAGGATTAGGTAGCCTTGGAGGAAAGTGGAGAGTTAAAAAAGGGGAGAATTTAGGACTAATCTTAGAGAATTCTGATTTAGAGGGGGTGGACCTATGAAGGAGATGGAGGAGTTTATATCCTTCCTTCAGCCACACACCTATGGAAGATGAGTTGGTGAGGCATAATATTTATAATAAAATTGAATAATACCACAAACATTGAAAAAAAGGCAAGAGACATAACAGAAACTAATAGTCACTAAGGATACACATAGATGTGCTGCAGCCCTTGGTAAATGCTATGTACACAGGTCTGACAGTGCAGCATCATGTGATTCCTTTTTGTTTATTTTTTTAATCTTATGATTTCTTAAATTACAATTATCACATAATAAGAACTAAAAATATATTTATTATTTTTCTTCTGCAAAAAATTAAGAAAAACATCCCCAAGTTTCTATTGTGTTTTGGTGTATTTGAAGCACCTGTTAATATCTGGTAAAGCAGAGTTTAGGAAATGCTGCTTTGTTGGTACCTCAGACATAACTTTCTTAGTGAATAGCTCAGCAAATGACACCAGCAACCTCCAGTCACCAGGCATAGCCAGAAACCTGAGTCCTTCTAGATTCCCCTTTCTTCCAAACCCTTATTCAGTGTGTCCTATCTTTATATTTTTTGACTCCCATAGTCTAAATGGTTGCAACAAACCCTTACTTATCTCTTCTTCTCTCTCTTTGTGGGCACATAAATCCTCCAGCCATTCCTGTGGCCATGAGGGATCAACCCCTTGGACCCTGGAGGGCTTGGCTGTTCCCCTATAGTTATCTCTTCTCCTTAATTGTACCCCAGGCTCTGACATATTATTCTTAACCAGGCTTCTACCTATTAGAAGCACTTAGGGACACTCACTTAAAGCCCCATCCCTGGAGATTCTGACTCCATGAATCTCTCATGGTGCCTCTATACTAAGACATAGCCAGAGGTGACACCCATTAGTCTGGCCTCCCTAAACCATTTTCAGTTTCTTCAATAGGCTACATCTTCTCACACTTCTCCCCTCTCTCCCTGGGCTTGGTCAGTGGTCTTTCTCTTGTGCTCATCATCTTTCGATTTATCAATCTGTATTTACCTGTCAATTTCACATACTAAATAAACTGAGTCCTTGCAGACAGAACTCATTATCTTGAGACTCCTGTTTAGTATGCCTGCTAGCACATAGTTAATGTTCAAGTATTTGTTGAAAAAATGGATGAAGGAATCTCTTTCTCTTTTCCTTGTGCTGTTTCAGAATCTTGTGACAAATTCAAGGATAACTTTTCCTTGTTTGTACATGTATAGCCATTCTTCATAACTCCTTTCTAATCTTTTCATCATTATTCCTAGTTTATAGTAACAATCAAGGTTGTCCTGGGCATTAACCAATTCTGGAATAAAAAGGAGACGTTCTTGAGGCCAGGCAACCCTGAGGTCATGTCTTGACTGGTTTGGGACCTTGGGAAAATTCATTAACTTTCAAGAAGCTTTCATCATCTGTAAAACACGGGGATCAAAATATCACATAGTGTTACTGTCATGCCCCAATAAAATAGAATTTGTAAACTACCTGGCCCATAGTAGGTACTTATGAAGTGTGAGTTCCTTTCTTTGGGGAGTTAACTACTTTGATTGAAGAGCCCAGTGCTCTGCTCACTGGCTGTATGCCTTTGGTCAGCTTATGATTCTCAGTAGTCTAATTTGGAGAATGGGCACAATTAGGTTTATCTTTATATAATACTATTTATTATCCCTAATTTTGTGCATAACATTATTCCCAAAGGTCAAATTGGTTTTGATTATATTAAAGTTTTGTTTTACATCCCCAAAAATTCTTGAATCATCTATAGATGTATCATTTATATGGAAGCTCCCTTTTAGTAAGTTTTCTTTATAGTGCTATATTCCCTGGCAACTGGCCTTCAAAAACATGTATTTACATTCCAAGCATATGGTTTGCTTGTATAACACCAGCACTATCCACTTCAGGGCCTCCCTGAAGAGTTGGAATTCAGAAGGAATTCCTCAGATACAAGTTTCCATCTCTTCTCTGCCTCAGCTGGATAGCTTTTTCAGACTGTCTATTCCCAGAATGTCAGAAGAGATCACAGCATTGGCTTACCATGCTCCAAAAGAACAAGAAGGACTTATAATTGTGAAGGTTGAAGAAGAGAATTATGTTTGGGGGCAGGACTTTGGCCTTCAGAGGAACTCCCAGAGCCAGGAGGTCTTCCGCCTGCGTTTCAGGCAGTTTAGTTATTCTGACTCCAGTGGGCCCAGAGAAGCTATGAGCCAGCTCAAGGAGCTTTGCTCTCGGTGGCTGAAACCAGAGGCACACTCTAAGGAGCAGATATTGGAGCTGTTGGTGCTGGAGCAGTTCCTGGCCATCCTGCCTGAGGAACTGCAGGCCTGGGTGCGAGAGCAGGGGCCAGATAATGGAGAGGAAGCTGTGACTCTGCTGGAAGAGTTGGAGAAAGAACTCGATGAATCAAGGCAACAGGTAAGAAGTAGGTGTTTTGTTTGTTTGCTTGACTATTTCAAGTTAATGGGGAAGCTGTTATGAGTCGCATTGACTCCTCATGGAATTATCCAATTTCTATTTTATACTGTATTAATTATTCACTCATTGGTTCATGTCATTAGGATTTTTAGACCTGTTGTTTTCTCACTGATATCTGAATAGGTTTCTGATTCCTTCTGTTTAGCCCTGTTGTTCTAGGGAGTTTCCTCTTGTGCATCCTTAGAATCACAGTGCTAGTACTTGATTACTTCTAGGACTCTGCTTGTGGCCAGAAAATGATCTGGAAGAACACAACATGCACAGGAGTTCTGAAGTCTCTAAGTCACCCTCTGCGGTCTTTGGAGAGCCAATGCAAGAGTGAGACTCAGGAGCCCCAAGATTTCCATGAGAGAGGTGAGGATCTTTAACCCCTTTGGGGTTGAGGATGAGGTAAGGGCGATCAAGTGTTCCATGGTACATTTTACTTAATAACAGTCACTTGCAGCTGTCACTAAGTATTGTGGAAAGAACCCCCATTTGCCTTGAAATACTCTTCCATTGGCTCTGCATTATTGTTTTAACTTGGGTTAAAAACAAAGGTCTTTAATAAATTCTCTATAATACCATAATGTTCAAAGACTAATATTCTGTTTTTAAAATAATACTTGAATTCCATTAACAAGGCAGTTTCTAAGATGAAGATGAATACTGTATCAGTAACAGAAACTTGAACACAGAAAGTTTAACATTAAGAATTATGAACTGTTTTACAATGAATATATTCTGCTGTCATATATACTTAATTAAAATAAATAAATAAAAGAATTATGGACTGTAACTAGCATTAACCATTAAGTGGTATAACTAAATACTAAAACTCTAAATTGTCAGGAGTAAGGTATTGGGGGGGGGGGGCTCTCGGCTTAAGGCAGAATGCCCAAGGAAGGAACGTATCTGCAAGAGGGTGCTATGTCTTTCCCCCACCTGCCAGGGCTGAAGTCCAGATCTCTCTGGAGAGGTAACAGCCATGACCCACTAGTTGGAGATGTTCAGTGAAATGCCCAGCTGGTCACACTCACTGAGGAGCTACCCTATGGGTGCCAGAAGCCCCCAATGGGGAAGTGACATGGCACAGAGTTTGCAGGGAAGCTGCTGAGGGGGGCAGTGCCTCTGAAACTCATTGGAGTATGCACTGCTGGTTGTCCCCCACACTGCAGAAACCGAGAGAGCACACCAGATCAACAAAGAAAAGTTCCTTCCTCCTCCACTGGCACTCTAGCCCCGTATACTATTAAAACCCATATCATGCCAGCTTGATGCCAGTATTGCAGATAGTACAATGAAGGGTAGATTCTAAATTAGGAGGCAATAAATTGATAGATGTCATGGGTGCTGAGAATTAGTACAAAAAGGACTTTGATTAAGGCAACATCATCCCTAGGGGCACCAGCTACATCAGCTTATTACTTTATTGTCATTAGACTTTCATTATCATTCTGATTTCATCTTCATCAAGCAATCTTATTAACTTCCCATGAAACTTAGCTATAATAAAAATGCATTAATTCACTCTGTTTTGTATGATGATTACATAGTAATTTTCATGATGGCCTTATTGCTCGGTTTCATGAACTTGGTTTATAAGATTCTACTCCAAGAGGGAAATCCATACCTAGTGTGTTGATTGAGAGGCATGTAATGACACAAACTTCAAGGTCAGATCCTGAACCTTAGCAATTCACCAAAGTAATCAATTCTATTAATCCAATGAAGTGTCCTTGAAAACTCCCTCTCAACCTTCCCCCATGCATCAGACCCTGATACTACCCTCTTAAGTATCCTTTGCACCAAGTAGGAGCTACATTAAAATGCATTTTTAAAAAATGATCAAATCACCTATCTTAAAACAGCTAAATGGATTATAATTGGTTTTTCATCACTATAATGTAATACATGGGACAGCTAACTTTATAAAGATAAGAAGTTATTTAGCTCATGGTTTGGGAGCTTCAAGTACATGTCACCTGCATTGGCTCAGTTCTGCTGTGTTGCATCATGACAGTGACATGATAGGAGAGCATGCAGGAGCAAGTGATCACATGAAGCAGTGAAAGTGACTCAAAGGTCAGATTCAGGCTTTTCTATCCTCTCACAAGAACTCACCAGGGTCCCATGAGAAAATACCTTATCCATTTCCAGGACAGGCTTCTAGGGACCACCCACTGAGCTCCATCTCTTAAAGATCCCATCAGTTCCTGCATCATGGCACTGGGAACCAAGCTCCCAAGACATCAACCCTTGGAGGCCAAAGGTATTCAAAATATGTATTATCTGAATCATTTAGGGTAGATTATTTAAGGTCTCAGGGGCCAGAGACTCCACTATAATTCCTTAAGTGCTTTTGGGATTTTTCTTATTGGCATTTTTAAAGGGACAAATTATATATTTCCAAAATTCATATATTGAAGCCCTGAGTCCCAGTACCTTATGATATAATTGTATTTTTTGGAGATAAGGCCTTTAAAGAGGTTAAATGAGGTCATTAAATGGGCTCTAATGCAATATAACTGGTGACCTTATAAGAGGAAATTAGTACACAAACAACACAGACTGAGATGACCACATGAGAATAAGCAAGAAGATGGCCATCTGTAAGGCAAGGAGAGATTGACTTGGAAAGACACCAAAACTTCTGATACTTGATTTTGGACTTCTAGCCTCTAGAACTGTAAGAAAATAAATTCCTCTTCTTTAAGCCTGTTTTTGCGGTATTTTTTTTATAGAAGCCTAGCATACTAATATTAAAGTTATTTCCCAAGTCTATATGAAATATTCCTAGCCTCAATTTGGTTCCTTTTGTTTGTTTAGCAGAGCTTTCATAAAATACTTGTACTTGAATAAGTAAAATGACCTTTGACCTTTGTCTAACTAAGCCTCTCACTGTCTCTGACTCCTGTGTTCTTTGTCTCTGTTTATTTCGACATTTCTCTGGTCATGTTTCAAATTCTCCACATTCTCTTGAGGTTCAGGGATAAAGACAAAATAAAATATTTTAGTGATGATCTGACTACTTTAAAATATAAAGTAGATTTTTCTCCCCAACTCTTATCTGTTACACCTTATTTCATTGTTTTTCATTTCACAATGTCATTATGTTATAGATTCAATCACATTATCAGCAATAGTGATTGTCTTTTAGACATTTTTGGACTTAGCAAAATTTCTCATCCTCATTTATGCCTGGTGTCCAAGTGTGTGGTCTTGGATGGACTTGACTGGGTTCCTGATAAGTCACTTTATGCTGATGTCTGAAGAATTAATGTGAATAATCCATATTTTCACCTAAGTCATAAAGTTTATATCACTGGAAGGATCTGCCTTGATATGATTATAAGAGTCACTATGCCTTTTTTTTTTTACAACCTTGGGTTATAATTTTCTTGTAGGCTCTTTACTAGCCTAACAGCATGTCTTGTTAGAAGAAGAATTGGTGGTGGAGATATGGATGCAGGTAATTTATTAAGGACATGTTCTTTGGGAAAAATCTTAATAGAGGGTTTACAGAATCAGGAAGGGAACCAAGCAAAGAATGATATAGTCTTAGGTAAAACTTAATCTTGGTTGAATCCTTGGAAAGGTTCTGGAGCCTTAAGAGCATGATTGCATTGCAGAGTTGCTCTTTTGATGCAGTGGGGGCAGTGAGGGTGAAATAGTTTCCTGGGCTAGTGGCTTTCATCATCCAGGGCAATTCTCCAAAGAAGGGGGCCGTTGTGGAAGATTAGGAGTTGTCTTTGTTTTTCTCAATAGTACTGGAAATTGAACACAGGCCCTCATGTAAATGCCCTACTCCTGAACTACTCTCCCAATCTTTTTTGTTTAATTTTGAGTCAGGGTCTTACTAAGTTGCCCAAGCTTGCCCTCTTCCTGCCTCCCAATAGTTGAGATTAGAGGTATGCACCACCACACCTGGCTGGAGTTGTCAGTTCTGGCTGCTATTCCACAATGTCATAAACTGAGTAGCTTATAAACAGCAGAAATTTATTTTTCACAGTTCCAGAGGCTAGGAAGTTCATGATCAAGATGCTGGCATATTTGGTGTTTGGTGGAAAGCCATTCTCTCATAGATTGCACCTGTGTACTTACATGGTAGAAGGAGCCAATGAGCTTTCTTGGACCTGTTGTATAAGGGCACTAGTTACATTTATGAGGGCTCTTCCTCCATGACCTAATCATCTCCCAAAAGATTCCACCCTCTAATACCATCACTTTGGGAATTAGGATTTCAGCATATGAATTTTGGGGGGACACAGATATTCAGACCATAGGAGGAGCCAACACTCGCTGCAGCCAAGGGCAAGAGACAGCAAACTAGTAGTGAGGTCTGCATTGGCAGTGCAACATCATCTAAAGAACATTAAGGCTAAAAGTATCTGTCATTGAGCAATCAGAGGTCACATTCTTAGTTAAAAGGATTTTATACCAAACATGACACTGAACAGGTAGCAGGTGTGATAAAGGAAAGAACTATTCTAACAGAGAAACCTATTACTTCTTTCTCAAAGAATATAAAATGAAAGACTTGTTTTCATACAAAAACATAACTTTTCCAAAGAAAAAATGAGTTTTAAATTATTTTTTTAGTTCATCTACAGTCCTGCTTCATTCCAAAGGGAAGGCAGATAACTCAGAGAAAAACTGAAAACTTTGAGTTTAAGCAGATTTGTTTGAATTCTCACTCTACCAATTATTAATTCTATAGACTTTCATACTCTTTCTGAGCCTCAGCTTCCTGATCTGTAAAATGTATATAAGTTTAGAGGACTTTGGGAGGATGAGAGCAACTTCAGAGTTCTAGAAATAATTCAATTGATATCACTGTTGTAAGTTACTAGAAATCTAGAAAAAAAGAGGAGCATGTTGTATGAGAACTGGATTTGGATCCAGGCAGTCACATTTGCCAATTATTTCCATCGACCTTCTTTGATCCCTTACACTTGAAAAGATGGACCCCTAAGGCTCCCACCTAACCCCAGAGTGAGTCAGGAACCCCGATATATTCCTTTCTCATGCTTTGTGCATCTTATTATATTGCTTGTATTTATTTGTTCCATTTGAAACCTGCTAGAATCTGCTATTGCCATCATGCTTTCTAGTTCTTGACCAGCTACCTTTGTTCAATACTAACCTCCTAAGCATTTTATAATCATATCTCCTGCTCTCTTACTTTGTTAGAAGTACCATTGATTTAAGACTCAGACATCTTTACCCTGATCATTCTGCATCATATATTTTCCTTTCCTGCATTACTTAAAATATATTCTTCTCCAGAATCATCTCCTAGCTTTATAATTTCTCACTGATACTCCTATTTATCACCTCTAACTAAGGGCTTTCCTAGTTCATTGTCACTCCTCTCCAATATTAACTCTCCTTGTCTGTCTACTTGACTTCAGGGGTTCACCTCCCACTACTCCAGGCCACTTCACTGAATTTTCCTAGATTAGGAAGCTAGTTTTAAGAAATTTTCCTCCTAATAAGCAAATACCTATTTCATTTGTTTTATTTTCTGCTCTTACTACAATAATTTCCTTTCTTTCAACATGGAGAGTAAATGACACTTGCATTTTCTATTCACACTTTTAGATGGCAAGATGGTAGCTGACAAAATGTTGGCAGCAAAGCAAGAAATTATTGAATGTGTAGCCTCAACTGCTATGATATCTCCAGGAAGACTTCTTGGGGAAATTGCTTCAGTACAGATAGTTGAAGAAGCTTTGGACGGTCTGGACAAGTCTGAGAAGCAAAGGGGAAGTGCTACAATGAACAAAATGAGTCAGCTCCCTTCCCAGGAAAGACAGTACAGCCTGGCAATGTTCAACAAGAAAATCCCCACAGAGCAGTGTTTCCCTGAATGTCATGGAATTGAAGAAAATCTCAATCTGAACTCAAATGATATTACACCACAGAGAATTCACACAGGGGACAAGCTCTATGAGTGCTTTGACTGTGGGAAAGCCTTTTGCCAGAGCTCAAAGCTGATTAGACATCAGAGAATTCATACTGGAGAGAGACCTTATGCATGTAAAGAATGTGGCAAAGCCTTCAGTTTGAGCTCAGACCTTGTTAGACATCAGAGAATACACAGTGGTGAAAAACCATATGAATGTTGTGAATGTGGAAAGGCTTTCAGGGGCAGCTCAGAGCTCATTAGGCATCGGAGAATTCACACAGGAGAGAAACCTTATGAGTGTGGGGAATGTGGGAAAGCTTTCAGCCGGAGCTCAGCCCTTATTCAACATAAGAAAATTCACACTGGTGATAAAGGCTATGAATGTATTGAATGTGGTAAGGCTTTTGGTAGGAGCTCTATCCTTATTGAGCATCAAAGAATTCACACTGGAGAGAAACCTTATGAGTGTAATGAATGTGGAAAATCCTTTAATCAGAGCTCAGCCCTTACCCAGCACCAGAGAATCCACACTGGGGAGAAACCTTATGAATGTAGTGAATGTAGGAAAACATTTAGACATAGATCAGGTCTTATGCAGCATCAAAGGACACACACCAGAGTTTAAGTCTGAGTAAGAGTTGTATAATTGTGAAATGCAAAAAATTCACTTTGAGGATGAGACTCAACAGAAGATAGAATTTTCCTGAGAGTAGGGTGTCTGTCCTTCCAGCCCAGTTCAGTTCTGTAAGAGGAGATCCACATGATTGTTACGATTGTTAAGTGTTAAGTGGAAAGAATTTTTTTTTAAAAATCAGGTCTTTGAAAAGAATGGTGGGTATTCTCTAGAAATGCCTAAATTTATCTGCATGAAGTCTCTCATCAATACCACCTTTACCTCACCAACCCAAATATAACTGCCACCATGCAAGTCCAGAATTATGTACCTAAAAGAGCTCCTTACATGATGGCAAGGATAAGATCCCTGCTCAGCGTTTGTGCATTTGGTAGGTGAAGGCATGTACTAAGAATTATTCAACTACCTGAAATGTTGACTTGTATGGGAAATGTTGAATTATGCCCTGGCTTGTTTTAACAAGATCCAAGGCAGTTTAATATTATCTGAGGAATGGTGGTTCATTGTTCCCACTTCCCATTTCTCTCCATAGCCCTATGCTTCCTACAAGGCCAATTCAGGTTTGCTTATTTATTAAGCACCTGTTGTGTTTAGCTATTTGGGACAGATATGGTCATTGCTGTCCCAGAGTTAAGGGCTAATGGAATATACATATTTACTAAATAAGTAAGTAAAGTGCAATAAGTATTTTGATAGGATAAATCCAGGGTGTTTCTGGAGTATATGGCAGGGCTACCTTACCTGATCTCTAAAGACTTCTTGGATGTGATAATATCTCAGTTGAGACCTAAACTGTAGAAATTAGCCAGGTCAAGGGCAGAAGAAGGCAGAGGTTATAGGACATATAGGGCATGAAAAGAAGAGAATCTGGAGACATCAGGACTCTTCACTTAGCAGGAATTAGTTGTCATAGTCTGGTAGGACTTGTGGCTAAGAAGCCAGGACATGTGCCTAGAAGACATGTGTTGGATTTTCTCTATAATCACTATACAGAACTTATAACCTATTACATCTTCAAGTACTCAGAATGAGGGTAGTAGAAGACTGGTACATCTTATGGAAACAGGCATGATGCACACCAAATAAAGAATATTCATCGGAGGCTATAGGGACAGTGAGGTCTAGAGTGTGTGTTTCATGACCCTGGATCTCAGGAAATGGGAAACTTCCAGGGACCCAGAAATGAGAAGTTTGCCTTCCCAGACCCTATATTCTTCATTCCCTTACCCTTACCCTCAGCACCAGCTCTGCAAACTCTAAGCCACTTGAGGGCAATAAATATTTGTTAAATTAACCAGATTCCTCAAAATTATACTTTCCTAATTTTTATTTTTACTTTGGCAGTTTTAATTAACCTACAATTGTTGAGGGCAATTAATACTTAAGAACTTTTTTCTTTTTTGGGTACTAAGGATTAAACTCAGGGGCAGTTGACCACTGAGCCACATCCCTAGCCCTATTTTGTATTTGATTAGACAGTGTTTCACTGAGTTGCTTAGCTCCTTGCTAAATTGCTGGCTTTGAACTCGCAATCCTCCTGCCTTCGCCTCCTGAGCTGCTGGGATTACAGGTGTGCACCACCATGCCCGGCCCTTAAAAACATTTTTGAAGACTTGATGTTCATAGTTATTGTGGGTAATAGAGATGAAATTGGGAAGGATCTTTGTGCCCAAAGTTTACGCAGTTGTCACTGAGTGAGATCAACCATAAGACATGGGATAGTGAGTTGCCTTTTCCTGTAGGTGACAATCAAATGATTTAATGTTTTAAACAGCATTCGATGGTTTTTCCTTATTGTAAATGCTGATAATACAGAACATATAAATTACCCACAATCCCTTTACCCATAGAAACACTTGACATTTTAGAGTACTTTGTGTTTTCTTCTCCAATCCTAACATTCTTGGCAAAAATATTGTAAATAAAAGTTACTAATTTTAACATTTATATGTTGAGTATACCCTTTAACTGTTCAGTATGAGAATGTAAAGCAAGATGTAATAAAATTTGAGTTTTAAAGTTTTGCTTTGAAATTATTCATTCAGAAATAGGGAGAACACTAGCAGGAGTGGAAGATAGGAGATAAAGAGGTTGTGGGAATAATTCATGGAATTGGTATTCTCAATTTTTATATTCTGGGCCAAAAAGTGTCAGGAAACTATCTGGTCTCTATGATTGCAGTTCACTGGCAAAGTCATAAGAGGTGACATCTGGTGGTGGTGTTGGAAGGACCATGAGAATGAGACTACTAGGGAATCTCTTTAAACACATGCATCTCCTAATCCATTAGAATTAAGACTCTTCCTTTTCTTGGGGGTGGTGGTGGTGGTGGTATACACACCAGGTTAGAATCCTCAACATTAACTGCTGGATAAGACCAAGGACCTGGGAAACCATCATGTCCTTCTTCTCACTCAGCAGGTCTACAATAGAAATCTAAGCTTAGAGAGACCATGGCCAAGGTTCAAATTTCCAATCCTTCCAGATAACCATTAGTTGTAGTCTATGAAACTGAGGGAGAAAGGGAAGGCAAGAAACCAATATTAACATACTCTGCCTCAATTGTACATTTTCTGTTTTTAATCCATTTAAAATTCATTTAAGGCAGACATTTTTCCCTCCAGACTGCTTCTAGTGCAAAAGAAACAAGACAGCCATGAGCAGGGGGAACATTATTTTTCTTTCCCAGAAAAGGCTAGTGAAAGAAAAAAAAAATTCCTTTGATAGCTTATTAACAGTGACTCTTTAAATAAACAGAAATGTTGAAGCTTCTTCAACTGTGGGATTATCTTCTTCAGCTCCTTTAACACCTACAACCAAAGGTCTTGACCACAAGGCTACTGCTTTTTTATATGTATATATTTTTTGGTACCAACGATTGAACTCAGGGCGACCACTGAGGCCACATCCCCAGCCCTATTTTGTAGTAGATAGGGTCTCACTGAGATGCTTAGTGCCTCATAGTTGCTGAGGCTGGCTTTGAACTCGCAATTCTCCTGTCTCAGCCTCCCAAACTGCTGGGATTACAGGTGTGTACCACTGAGCCTGGCTGGCTACTCCCTTTTTCAAGCGTAAGTCTTTAGGGAATGGCTTCTATTTGTACAGGATTTATAATTTTAAGAGGACTTGTTTAATATATATATTAAATATATATATATATAAACAAAATGTAAAATGGGTAAGTCTGCCATTTAAAAAAAAATCAGTGATAAAACCAAGGATAAGTTAATTTTGCTAACAAACTTGAGATTTGGAAAGGACAGTGCTGTGGAAAGCAAGTATTTTTTTCATAATATTTCCCCAATATCCTGCACTTCTTTTTGAGTTTTCCTAATTTTTTTCCTTTCCAGTTTTTCGGTGCTGGGGATCAAACAGTGTCTTGTGCATGCTAATAAGTATGTGTTCTACCACTGAGCTACACCCTCCTATCCTGTCCTCTAGCCTTAAATAGTGCAGAAAAATTTGAATATATAAAATCACAAGAAAACATTAAATTTCCTATAACCTCACCAACCCAGAGACAACCACTGGGATTGCACATTTCTAGTATTTTTAATGCATAAATATATTTTTTACATGGGGTCATACAGTACAATTATAATATTTAACAATCTATCATGAATGCTTTATTTCAACATTAATCAACAAATTTTAACAGCTTTTAAGATTTTGTACATTCATGATGGTTTCTGAAGTATATTTATTTTCAGATAGAATTTCAAAGTCCAAAGGCAATGCTTAAGGCTTCTGGTAGTGATTGCTAAGATATTGTCTATTCACATGACACCAGCAATAGAGTCCCAATTTCCCTGAATCTCTTATCAATTTTGGAAGTGCCATATCAATTGCTTCAATGAACATTTTATAAGATTGACATACATGTATTGTCCCTTGGCCACTTAGTCTTTTGTGATTTGCCTATTTTAATGCTAGTTTTTCAACTAGAAGTTTTTCATGGGAAGATAGCACAGTGATTTTACATAGGGTTATGAGTTCTACCTTCTAGACATGACCTTTAGCCTTCACTTCATCTGCCTAGAACATGGGCTATAATGAGAAATAAATAATGTATACATACAGAGCCCTTAGCAAATACCTATTACATTTCTTACATGTAAGAGCTCTCTGGAGTATTTTTTCCTTCTGCTATCTTTGTGGAAAAAGAGGAAAATGAATTGAGCAGCTCTCACCATGTATTGTTACATTTTACCATATTTCCAACTCATATTATTCTTCCATTTTCTCATATTCTCTTTAAAAATGGACATTAGGTGTGCTGTCATTCTTACTAGTCACCATATGCCTACTTATATTCCAATAGGAGCATTAATTCTCTTTGCTTCTCATTAGAATTCTTTTTCTAGTCACAAGATTCTAGAGGATTTCCACACATATCTGTTTTTGGTATGTTGTTCCTCTATCCTGTTAGGTCTTTTGAATGGGGTCATGTCTATTGCTGATTAACCTGTACAACTTTCCACCTTATAGTAAATACCAGCTTCTTTGTACTAGGTTCCTCAGAAGAGGGGAAGTCTTGACTGATCACAGTTGTTACTTGTTGTCATTTTCCTTTGCAAAAGCTATGAAATATCACACATGAGGTGTCTAGAGAGTAAGTCACAGACCCAGCAACTGACATTTTTTGAGCACCCAAGTCCAAGGAAGTATACTAGAACTTATAAGGACAGAGCTTTGAAAATGAATGATTTGGCAGATTCCAACTCAGGGACTTGGGGATTAACCTGACAACAGTTCCAATACTGTAACAAAGGTGTCCTCATACCTAGGAGAGGGAGTCAGAATCTTAACATTTACCAAGGCTCTTTCTTAACCTCCACTTCCTCTACCTACTCCATAGAAATTCTAGCCTAGCCTGTAGGTTGGGCAAAGAAACCACATATTAGCCCTTTCTCTTGGGTCATATCAACCAAGACAAAGCTATTCACTCCTCTGTTGTCCAAGTATTCTAGGTTTTTCCTTTTTAAACAGAAATTTCTCGATTGGCTCATATATTGCATTAGGCACTGTGCTTCAGAGACTGGTTCTACCCACACTTCTTATGGACATGACTCCACTTCAAAAGAGCTCAACAGAAAATGCTTCATTGGCCTTTACCTGTTGCTCCTTTTACTATGAACACTTCCCCCTGGCTAAGTCCTTTCATCTTTCATGTCATTTCCCCTATTCCCTTACCCAAAGTTGAGAGCTCCTTGAGTCACATAGCACTGACCACACCATGGTGCTACTACATGACTGACTGCCTTGCCCATTACATGACAGAGATTATGCCTGATCTTCCATTGCATCTCAAGTCTCAAGTACAAAGAAAATTCTCAAAAACAAAATAAATTGTTGGATACATTAATTTGTATTATTTCTTCTCATGCATATCTAATTTCTGACCTGCCCTGGACTCAACACTGATAAAACTTTCCCCACTTTTTTTTTCTGCTGTCAGTTCTGATTTAATAAAAAATTTTGATTTCCTGAGACAAACAGTCCCTTATGCTGTCCACTCTCTCCCAAAGTGGGGGCACATTGACAATCAGATGCAGTGACTGAGCCTGAGTCCCTAACCCCTTTCAAGACATTCTCATAGAAAATGAGGTTTCAATGTCACATTCCTGCTTTTCATATTTCCTGAGTATTTTTAACAGTAAGCGAAAAGCTGGAAGTAATAATTCTTCCATCCTCTGCTTTCATTAGTCACAGGAAAAAGCTTTTAAGGAACAATTTGCACTAGCTCTGTGTAGTGTTGCATAAAGCCTTAGAATGACTCAAGACCTAGTAGTTAACCTTTATGGAGTTTTGCTCCAAGAAAAACACTTCTAACAAAGATAAAAAATCTTACTGAAGCATTTATAATATTCGTTGTATTCACAAGTTACTTTACAGTGTGGACTCTCTGATGGCGAATAAGGACTGATCTGTGCCTGAAAGCCTTCCCACATTCATTACATATATAAGCTTCATCCCCAGAATGGATTTTCTGATGCTGAACAAGGGCTGAGCTCCTTTTGAAGGTTTTGCCACATTCATTACACTGATAAGGTTCCTCTCCACTGTGAATTCGCTGATGTCTGATGAGGTTTGAGCTCAGACTGAAGGCTTTTCCACATTCATTACATTCATAGGGTTTCTCCCCACTATGTATTCTCTGGTGGGTAATCAGTTCTGAGCTCTGCCTGAAAGCTTTCCCACATTCATTACACTCATACGGTCTCTCTCCTGTATGAATTCGCTGATGTCTAATAAGCTTGGAGCTCTGGCTAAAGGTTTTCCCACACTCATTACACTCATACGGCTTCTCACCAGTGTGAATTCTTTGATGTATAATAAGATATGAACTTTGACTGAAGGCTTTACCACACTCATTACATTTACAAGCTTTCTCACCAGTGTGAATTTTCCGGTGTCTAATGAGGGCTGAGCTTTGATTGAAGGCTTTTCCACATTCACTACATTCATATGCTTTCTCACCACTATGAATTCTTTGATGAATAATCAGATATGACCTTAAACTAAAGGCCTTCCCACACTGGTTACATTTATAGGGCTTTTCTCCAGTATGGATTCTCTGATGTTGTGTTAGAGATGAATGCTGCTTGAAACTGTGCCCACACACATCACATCTATAAGGTCTCTCTTCTGAAGGAACTTTCTGACTTGTTATAGGGTTTGTACTTAGAATCAAGCATCTTTGAGGCTCATCATGATGGTCTCTCTTTCCTAAAGATTTGTGTGTGAAAATCACCTGCCTACAACTACTCCCGTGTGGAGAGGATCTTCTTAATTTCTGCCCCATAGCACTTCCTTGTTGCCAGTCTAAATTGCTTTCACGCTCACTAACCACTCCAAATGAAGGTTCCTGAGAGAATCCCTGTGAATTTTCTCCTGAAATGTCCTGTGTTGTTGTTTCATTGTTTTCACAATCTGAAATGATAAACAGCAAACAAACAAAAAACACATTAAAGTTTTCCATTCACTCTCTATATTCATTTTCTATGAGAGAAAATTGAAGGGTCTGCCTACAAAGATGTCACTGTCCATGTCTCTTCCTTGCTTACATTGTCAAGCAACCTCATTCTAACTCACAGTATATTTCTTGACATGTTCTCATCTCCATTTTGCAATCTAGTTTCTGCCTTACCTAACTGCTCATACCCACCACTTCCACTGACACTACTCTCATCAAGGTCACAAACTTGATACCTACATAAATCAGTAGGTAATTTTAGGGTCTTATTTAGTCAGCATCTCTGTAGCATTGATACTAAGGACCACATCTGCCTTTTAGAGACATTTCCTTCCAGTCATATTTGACTGAGTTCTCGGACTATTCCTTTTCAGATTCTAGGCTAATAACTCAAACACCAGTGTTCCTTCCTTCAGTTCTTTTTTTCTGTTTCCTGGATTCTAATGTATCCTTACTCTACAAGCTCTCTATCCCCTAGGCTCCATTTGCTACTTATATTGTAAGTTAATGCTTCCCCATATCCCAATCCATTTTGTGCTTATTTCCTAAGTATTCAAATGCTCCAAACCAAGTATATCATCAGATATATTTGCTTGTTTTCCCAGTTAAAACACAACACCACTATTATCCAGGTATTCAAGACTGAAACACCTTCAACTCCTCTCTCATACTCTGCTTTTAACAATGACCAGAAACTGCAATGCAATTTTAATGTTGAAGAACAGTTTTCAGCTTTGGTCTTCCCTATGCCTCACCATAACACATGATGATTTATTTACTTTAGCCACTTGGATTATAAGACTCTAACAGGCCTCTAGTCTTGCTTCCCTCAAATCCATTCTCTACCCTAAAGCTAAATTCTACATTACAAATTCAACCATGGCTCTCCTTCCTCCAACACCTTTCAACTATACCCCTCTATTTAAGAAATTGTATATGTGAATCCCATTTTCTTCTTTATTTTTTCTCAACCCTCCTCCCTTGTTAATTCTCTTCGCAAGTCAAACTGAATTCTACTCTTTCTAGGATGAGTTCTGTTCTTTCACCTCCAAGACTGAGGCCTTTGCTTGGGACACTTATCCTTCTGCCTATTTGCCTGGCTTTCTTCTACACATAGTTCAAATCTTAGCTTAGATGATTTTCTCCAGGAAGTGTTCCTTGAACCTTTAAGATTAGGTGCCATTTTTTTTTTTTTTTTTTTTGGTGCTCCCATAGTACCCAGTGCCTACTTTTAGTCCATAACTTACTATACTAGAAATGTCTTTTTGTTCATCCACCACCCACCTAGACCTGAAAGCTCCTTGAAAGTAAGACTCAGTACCTACTACAGTACCAGACATGTATTAGCACTCTATAAAGTTTGAATGAATGAATGAATGATAAGGAAATGGACACAAGGAGGGCTGACTGAAATTCATGTGCATTACTGAATACAAAGCTCCTAAAGTGAGCACCACTGGTTTAGAATAACAGCAGTGATGCTCATGTGTTGGAAGTTTGATGAGTTCCCAGACAAGTTCCTATTCCTCACCACGTTTAGGGGAAAGGCAGGGTTTCCAAGATTTCAGTTGTGACTTTAAAGGTTGGAGTTGAAAGTTTGTTGACTCTTGGGATGCTGCTAGACATGTCAAATCCTTCCATGGCACTGTTGGTCCCTGTGGATTAGCTGGGACCTGAAATTAGTAAAATATGGTTAGCTTTGTGGCAAAATCTCTAGGAAAACAGACCTTGTGAGAGTAGAGGCATAGCTCTGATATACTTCAGGGTTATGGTTCAAGAGATATGTAACTTTTTATCCTATTGTTATGATACTACATGCTCCAGGCTGTAATTTCCATTTCCCACAGCACATGACTTCTGTCTGTTCCCACCTGCTGCACTGGATCATCAAATTCTCTTTCCAAATCTTCCAACAGGGTCACAGCTTCCTCCCCATTTCTTGGACTATGTTGCTGAACCCAGATTTGCAGCTCCTCAGGTAGGATGCTCAGAAACTGCTCCAGCACCAGAAGTTCTAAGATCTGCTCCTTTGTGTGCAATTCTGGCATTAGCCACTGATAGCAAAGCTCCTGGAGTCGGCCCAGAGCTTCCCGGGGCCCAGGTGTCTCATGGTAACAAAACTTTCTGAACTGTTGTCGAAACAATTCTTGGCAGGATTGGATACTCCCATTCTGTTTAAATTTCTGACCCCAAGAAAAGCTATCTTCTATTTTCACTAGTATTAATTCTTGTTCCTGATGATCCTGAGGTATCTGAGTTGAAATTGCTCTGGAATCCACAGCCATTCTGGAATGAAACAGCTTAGCAAGAACTTCAGTACAACCAGGTTCTGTGTGTGAGAGATTTTGGGGGTAATCTCTTCTTTCCTAAAGGATATAAAATCACAGTTAACTTATGGTAGGGAAAAAAGTCTCAGGAAGTTGTAATAATATAGATCAATAACTCAAAGAACATTTAAAGGGAACAGGTTTGAGTCTAATAAGCAACAATAGAATGATCAATTAAAAATCATTAAAAAATCATTACATCTCAGTGTCTCCTACTCTCTAGAATTTCTACTACTGTTAATTTTTTTTAAAATTTTGTTTTAGTTGTAGTTGGATGCAATACCTTTATTTTATTTTTATGTGGTGCTGAGGATTGAACCCAGCACCCCGCATGTGCTAGGTCAGCAGTCTACTGCTGAACCACAACTCCAGCCCATACTGTTAAAATTTTTAGAAGCAAAAGAATGAAACATTAACATGACTCACACAGCGAGATAAATACTTCCTTTTCAATTCCCTCTCAATCATGATTACACAAAGGAGGGAAATTTGATTTAACATGTATATAAAACTTACTTACTTTTAAAAATAAAATATAGACCTCAGACTGACTTCCAAGAGTAATAACATCTAGGTAGAATTTAATTAAAAAATTTTATTTGTAGATGAACATAATACCTTTATTCTATTTATTTATATGTGGTTCTGAGGATTGAACCCAGTGTCTCACAGGCACTAGGTGAGCACTCCACCAGGGAGCCACAACCTCAGCTGGTGATGCTGACTTTTTATTTTTAGCTAGCTTCTATCTATAGCAGGTAATGCTGATTTTCATTTAAGGTAGTAATAGCACATTTTCAAAAAATTCAAATTAAACATGAGTTGACTTAAATAAAAATATTACAGGGGGCTGAGGCTGTAGCTCAGTGGTTAAGTGCTTGCCTCGAATGTGTGAGGCACTGGGTTCAATCCTCAGCACCACATAAAAATAAGTAAAGATACTGTGTGTTCATTTACAACTAAATAAATATTTAAAAAAATATTACAGGATATTTTCCATTTGATCACATTTATTCACTTAATTTCTTTACCAAACACTGAAGCACCTATTACAGGCTCTGTCCTGAGGTGGCACTGGGTTAAAAAGGTTTTAGTTCATGAATCTATTGAGGAATCAACAAAGATAGAACTGTAAAATGCTTATCATGAGTTCAAAAACATGACAGATATAGACACAAAAGATGCAAAAAAGATCAGGCTCAGCTGTCAAAAAGCTTAAGGCTATTCTGGGAGCAAAAATTTAAAAATAAACGAAACGTAGTAACAATTATATACCAAGTTTTGAGATACAGACCAAACACGATCTGATTTCCGGATGGGAAGGATAGCCACAGAAGCGTATGCTTTTTATTTTATGTTCATTCAGAAGGATACAGTAAAAATTATTAATATTACGGTAACTTTAGAAACTAATTAGAATATGCAGACTACGAATCTCTGGTTTACCAACTAGCCCGGCTGCACTCAGCCCTCCTATTCTTTATATCCCTTGTTAAACCACAGCATTTGCGAAGTCACGGAGGTGGAGGCACAACTGTGCTTTCCGCTGGCAGGCAGGAGCTTGAGTGCTGGCCTCTACTGCCTCCCCAGGACTCTCGGAGTCTTTGCCCTGACCCGGGGGTGGGCAAGCCGAAGAGCGGAACGCCTTCATCTTGCCCCGGCACCCAAATAGGGCGCCAGCCCTACCCTCCCTCCGCCTTAGGGCCCGTGTCCCTCACCGCGAAGCCCAGGAGCCGCCAGGGACAAGCTTCGACCCAGAGCGGCGAGCCACAAAGACCGGAAATCTGCATCTCGGCCTTCCGCTCGCTCGCCCTCGGGAGCTTCCGTCCGCCCCGCCCCTTTCTCGAGGGTAGCCAATCAGAGCCGCGGGTTCTGTTCTTCCCACCGCCTTTGCTCAGGGTTCGCTGGGCTGGCAGAACCAGAGATGCCAACGAGGTTGAGCGGACCGTAGGTGGCCTCCTTGTCTGAGGCCGCTTTTGCTTGCTTGAACCCCGTCTTCCCGCTCCCCGATCGTTGTGGGTGTGACGTCATTTCCGATTCGTCTCACTCCCAATTTTCTAGCAAAGTATGCAGATTTTCCTGTAGAAAAGACTGATTTTCCACTTCTTTTCCATGATCTCTGACAAAAGTAAACGGATGGATGAATGAGCAGAACAAAAAGTAACAATCACTTATATTGATCTTTAAGCGTGCCATTCCAGCCTTGCAACAGCTCTGTGGGCTACACTCAAGTCCCCAAAATTTAAAGACTCAGGTCCCAGGCTACCGTCTCTAGTGCCGGCTTTCCCTCCCTTTTTTAAAACTGGCATTAATCTTGCTATTAAAAAGAAAATAGGCAATTTGTAGGTAAAAAATGATGCCTCATGTCTTCACTTTGTGAGCTTGAGGTTAGTCCTTCTCACCGTGTGGGGTAGTGCACACCTGTAATCCCAGAGATTCGAGAGGTTGAGGCAGCAACATCGGAAGGGCAAAGCAGCCTCAGCAATTTAGTGAGGCCCTAAGCAACTTAGAGAGACCCTGTCTCAAAAAATAGAAAGAGCTGAGGATATAGTTCAGTGGTTAAGCGCTCCTGGGTTCAATCCCCAGTGCACCCCAACACCCCCCTCCCCAAATTTCCTTCTCATGTTTATGGTTCAGAGAAATGACTTTCCCTGTTTTTGAAATTAAGGTGTTATTGTTTTTGAGACTATTACTTCATTGGTTAATTTTTTTTACTTATTTGTAATTATTTGTAAATGCTAGTTAAAAGGAGAATAATAATGTGATATATACATAGAAAATTAAGTTTTCTTTGTGATCTAACACACTTAAACCAAAGCTATTTGGAAACAAACGTTCTTTAGTATTCAGCGCTAAGTTAATAAATAATCTCAATCACTGTGAAATTGAAGCCAGAATTAGACAGGCAGTCAGTATAGATAGGTAAATGGAGTCAGGTCGGATCCAGGAGGCCAATTTTGATTGAGTCTGGCAAGCTGGAGACTGTCCCCTGATGGATTGAAATGTTAATTTCATCGAAGCCCTTTCTTCTGCTCCAACCTGTTGGTAGGGTTGGAGGTCCCAGGAATTGTGCCTCCCTGTAGGAAGCTATAATTAATGTGTCCTTAGCAGCTCCATCCTGCCCTTCCCCCTTAAGCCCACCTGATTCCCACATTTTGGCCAACCCACAGAGCATTCCCAAGCCTAGTCACATTCTCAGGCAGGAGACAGATAAGGGGAAGAGGGCAGGAGAACAAAGGAAGCCTAGGACATATAAAAAGGGCTCAAAACCTCGCTTCTTAGGATACCAGGATACAGCTATGGCCCTCTTCCCTCTCATTTGAGGGGAAAAGTCTGTGTTACCCCTTTTTAAATAAACCCTACTTTATATTTTACATTGCTTGTCTCGGCATGCTCTTCTAATGTTCAAACTTCAACATTTGAGGAAGCAGAACTTGTCACCAGTAACTGGCGGTATCAACAACAGCTATTTTATTTTTTTTATTGGTTGTTCAAAACATTACAAAGCTCTTGACATATCATATTTCATACATTTGATTCAAGTGGGTTATGAACTCCCATTTTTACCCTGTATACAGATTGCAGAATCACATCGGTTACACATCCACATTTTTACATATTGCCATACTAGTGACTGTTGTATTCTGCTATCTTTCCTATCCTCTATTATCCCCCCTCCCCTCCCCTCCCATCTTCTCTCTCTACCCCATCTACTGTAATTCATTTCTCTCCCTTGATTTTTTTTCCCTTTCCCCTCATATCCTCTTATATGTAATTTTGTATAACAATGAGGGTCACCTTCCATTTCCATGCAATTTCCCTTCTCTCTCCCTTTCCCTCCCACCTCTCATCCCAGTTTAATGTTAATCTTTTTCTCATGCTCTTCCTCCCCGCTCTGTTTTTAGTTGCTCTCCTTATATCAAAGAAGACATTTGACATTTGAACAACAGCTATTTTAAAAAGCAAGAAAATACTGCTAGTTTGTGTTTCAGTTATCTATATGCCACTACATCTATATGTGACTCCAAGATTAGAGACTATGAATAGCAGATGTTTTATTGCTCACAATGTGTGGCCAGGAATTCAGGCAATGTTTAGTAGAGATTGCTAGTCTCTGCTTTATGAGGTGTCAAGATATGGTGGCTTAACGGGCCTGGAAGGTCCAAGATGGATCTTATGTTGCTGGGATCTTGTTGCTGCATTTTCGCTAGAGCTACTTGATTCTTCTCCCCAGCACTTCTCTACAGGTATCTAGTCTGTCATACATTATTCAGGAGTTTAGCTAAGATTTCTTAGCCTAAGCTGGCCTCCTAGAGAGTCAAGGAGGAAGGGAAGATCCTACTTGTTTCAAAGACTAGATCTGGAACTCAAATTATAATCCACCACTGTATAGCCTTGATAGGACTAGATTCATGGAAAGAGGAAATAGTGTCCATCATTCAATGGGAGGAACAGTTAGCTTGAGTTTAAGAAGAAATTGTGGCACTTATTTTAGCATCTAATGTACCATACCTTGTTATATTGAGAAGCTACTCTTGAGGAATGAAATTATTGAGCGTTTTATCAGTTAAAATGCTTTCAGCTGAAATAATGGAAACTCTACTAAATATCTGTATTGTTTAACCTTTTAAAAAAATTCTACATAAGTATATGTAGTGGAGGCAAGGCCATTCCTAGGGTTGGTTAATTCAGTGTCTTGACAATATATCAAGGATCCAGGTTCCTTCTTTTTGTTCTGCCCTGTGTGTGTGTGTGTGTGTGTGTGTGTGTGTGTGTAGTGCTGGGCACTAGAACCCAGGGCCTTGTGCATGCAAGGAAAGGAAAACACTCTACCAACTGAGTTCTATCCCCAACCCTGTTCTGCCATCTTTAAGTGTATTGGTTTAAGTGTGTCTTGTGTCCTTTATGGTACTAAAGTAGCTCTCTCAGTTCCTGATTAAAGATGCTGAGGCAGAAAAAGGGTCATCTTTTTCTTCTGCTCCCTTTTAAGACTAAGGAAACCATATTTCCACAACAGATTTTCCTCTCATATATTTCATTAGCTAAATTGCCTAGGCCTAGGTAAGGTGGGTAAGGCCTCCATAATGGGCTTAGACCAATTAAGATCACATCGCAGAACTAAGGAGCAAGTTCATCCACTCCTTAAGGGCACAGACTTTTGGGGAGGGTATGTGAAATTTTATTATGATTAAAATATAGATGTCATGCCAGGGCTTAGACCCAGGAAACAGATTCATAATCCCAGCAGGTGGGAGAGATATAAGACACAGTTAGGATATTAGACATGCTTTAATCAGAGATGGTAACAGCCTCCAGTCTCCTTCAACTTCAGCTTTAGCCCCCAGCCAGTTCCATTTTGCCCCAGTCAGTTCCATTTAGCCCCATTATTGCAATACAGTTCAAACAAAGAAGTAACATCGCCAATTGGTTAGATCAGTGCACACATGCTCACAAGCAAATGTTTATGACCTCGAGTACAGGTATACTGAATCAGAATTTTTCTGACCTTGACTACACATTAACCATAACTTAGCTGATTCATGGCCTTGGCATACTAAAAACATAACATAAAACATAACAGTGCACTGGAAGATTCAGTGAGGGAGCCTAACAATAGCCATTTGGGGCTTGCCCCAATAGTAGAAAAGGGGATAAATCAATGAATGTTGAGCAAGCAATGGTAGTATCTATTTAAGATATAATCTGGGGCTGGGGATGTGGCTCAAGCAATAGAGCACTCGCCTGGCATGCATGCAGCCTGGCTTTGATCCTTAGCACCACATACAAAAACAAAGATGTTGTGTCCGCCGAAAGCTAAAAAATAAATACTAAAAATTCTCTCTCTCAAAAAAAAAAAAAAGAGAGATAATCTGATTCTCTTTAGGTAATAAATGAGACACTAGGAAAAAATTCAGATTCTAATCATTCCTTATAATATGGTATATGTAGTTAAAACATAAATCAATTACTTATTTGCAAGAGATCTAGACTGGAGATTTAGAGCTAATATTCTGTTTGGGGATAGCAACTGAATACCATGTGGAGTCTTAGCCAACAATTTTCCACTTATGTGGCTTAACTTTCTGTGTTCTCAATTACATCAGTGCCCTCAAAGATCATCTCTTGCTAAGTGTGGTGGCATATACCTATAATCCCAATGACTCAGGAGACTAAGGCAAGAGGATCACAAGTTCAAAACTAGCCCCAGCAACTTATTGTGAATGTCTCAAAATAAAATATACATATTTTATTTTAAAAATAAATATATATAAATAAAATATTTTATTTTGTCTCAAAAAAATTTTATATATATATATATATAAACTAACCAGCGGTGTAACTCAGTGGTAAAAGCACTCCGGAGTTTAATCCCCAGTGGGAAAAAAATTGTTCCTTAACATTTCATCCCTTTATCTTACATAGCCTGTTTTAATGTGAAAATTTTTGTTTCATAAATTGTTGAATTAAAGGTAGAAAAATATTATTTTGTTTTTTCCCCCTTCACATACTCTTAATAATTGTTTCTGTTTTTTAATGATGGGTTTTGATAATTGTTAGGTAAAATCTGCCCTAGGCATTGCTGATGATTGGTGAATAAGGCTCTTCATTTGGTAACATCCATTTGAGAGAATTACTATATCATTCAAAAGTGCTTTTATGGTCTTCATCAGGTAATATAAGCCCCTTGAAAATATTTTGATTAAAAGCTGCTATCAATAATAAAGGATGGAGAAAGTCTTCTGCACATGTAAGGGAAATGATCATTTCTTCATTCA